AGTTTCACCACATTGCCTAGGCTGGTCTCGAACTCTTGGCCTCAAAGGATCCACCTGCCTTGGCCTCCCAAAGTGCTGGGATTCCAGGCATGCACCACCATGCCCAGCCTAGAATCCCACTTCTAACATAGTTTAACCCAGCACTTCCCAATCCCATTTGACAGGGAACCCTAGGGTTTGAATTTTAATTAACTCAAATAGGTTCACGTGGCCCTTCTCTTGGCCAAGGAGCTTCTTACAGAACCGGTGTTCTAGGGAACACAGTTGAGGAACCCCCTGCTAAAGACAGCCAAAGAGAGCCCCTGGGTTTGCACACCCCATGCTGGCGGCCTGAATCCGGAGCTGTGGTTGGGAGGGGACCGTGTGCCTTGGGCACTGGAGGGATGGCAGAGAGGAGCTTCTAGAAGGCCTCAAAACTGTGCAGTACTCTCGATTCCAGCACCTGTGGCTCTTGAGCACTTGAAATGTGGCTTGAGGGGCTGAGGGGGTTTTCTGTTTAATTTTTTAAAAATAAGGTCTTGCTCTATTGCCCAGGCTGGAGTGCAGTGGCACAATCATAGCTCACTGCAGCCTCCAACTCTTGGGCTTAGGCAATCCTCCTGCCTCGGCTTCTGAGTAGGCTGGGACTACAGGCCCACCCCTGGCTCATTTTTAAATTTCTTTTTTAGAGATAAGGTCTTGGCTGTGTTGTCCAGGCTGGTCTTGAATTCCCAGGCTTGGGCAATCCTCCTTCCTTGGCCTCTCAAAGTGCTGGGGCTGCAGGAGTGAGCTACCACACCTGACCTGAGTTTTACATTGTTAAAAATGTTGTTTTAATTTTAATCAACTCAAATGTTCTCATGTGGCTAGCGGCCACCCTGGAGAACAGCACAGTTCTACAACTTTTGAGACCTTCTTCTCATTATCCTCACTTTCTTTCCAGAGGAGACTGAGCACTTGGAGTCTCCTGGCCTTTCAGGCCAGGCCAAACCTCGGTCCCCAGAGCCTGGTGTGGCAGAGGCCATGGAAAACTGACCCACCCACTCTAGCCTGGCCCTGGATTTACAGTCAGGCAGTGCACAGGGATGGGTGACTCTTGTTTTGAGTTGGGTCTCTCACCCAGGCTGGAGTGCAGTGGCACAACCATAGCTCACTGCAGCCTTGACTTCCTGGGCTCAGGTGATGCTCCTGCCTCAGCCTTCTGCACAGTTGGGACTACAGGCGCATGCCACACACCTCTTTTTGTAGAGACAGGGCCTCACTGTGTTGCCCAGGATGGCCTTGAACTCCTGGCCTCAAGCTGTCTTCCTGCCTCAGCCTCCCAAAGTGCTGGGATTCCAGGTGTGAGCCACTGCGCCTGGCCTCTTGGTGACTCCTTCCAAGGGCGTTGCTGGCTGGCTGATATGACGCGAAGCCTCTGGCTGTAACCATCGTAGCGATACCCTCATTAATGGCGAAGTGGGGCCCACCGTGGCCCAGGAGACAGGGCCTGGTATTCCACTGCATGGAGGAGAAGCTGAGGCTTAGAGAAGACAGATGACTTTAAAGCCAGCAGGCTGCAGGAGCAGCTCACTCTAAGGCATGAACCCGCTACGGCCCACCTCACCATGATGTTAACATTTCAGCCTGTTCCCTTCCAGGCAGGCAGCTTTCTAGAAAGCTGCCTGGCTCCCCGAGTCACATCCTGATGACATCCATGCTCTGCAGTCACACATTCCATGGTGCAGGGGCTGACCTCAAAATGAGCTGCTGCCCCAGAAGGGTAGGGAACCAAGGTGGGGCCTGGACCAGACTGACCAGGCTGTGCTCCCAGCGCAGCCCTCACCAGGGACCCCTGAGTGCCTCTCTCCCCTCCAGAACTCCGTTTCCCCATCTGTGCAGCCAGGAAGTTGGGCATGGTAGTCAAGTGTCTGCTGGTAACTTTGCCCTCTCTGTGCCCCCAGGTCGGGGCTGCGATAAGACCCGGTCACGGGTGACCCTGCAGGAGTGGAATGACCCTCTTGACCATGACCTTGAGGCCCAGCTCATCTACCGGCACCTGCTGAGCGTGGAGGCCATGCTGTGGTGAGTCCCACCCAGGAAAGCCTGTGTAGCCCAGGCTGAATGTGGGGCTAGAGCTGGGATTCAGGCTTGGGGCTGCTCCGTGGTGGCTGGTGACCTCTATTCTAACTGGCCATGTCTGGGGAGGGCATCAGGAATACCTGCCTCCCTGCAGCATGAGGCCAGCTCAGGTTGGGACAGAGGCCCCAAGGGTCCGGGCCGTGCCTGGTGATGCCGTGGGCTGAACCCCCCTCACAACCTGCCCAGCCGTGCCACTGGGCCCTTGGAGCACAGGCTGTGTCCTCGGCCACTCCCTGAGTTCCTTGACCATCTCATTCATCCAGTGGTTCTCAGCCCTGGCACAAGCTTAGAAAAAACAGGATGCTTTTAATGGCCAGCTTTAAAAACAGGATGCTGAGGCCCTGTCACTCAGGGTCTCTGGAGATGCGGCGGTGCCGGGACACTTCAGGGTGACCCAGTGCCAGCTGGACCAGGAGCTCTTCCATCTCTCACGCCCCACACCATTGCGAGGAGGAAGGGCGTGGCCCTCCCCCTTCCTCATCAGCTCCTCCAGGGTTTATCTCTGCCCTCAAAACCCACAAAGGGGGAGCGTGGTGGCTCACGCCTGTCATCCCAGCACTTTGGGGGGCAGAGGCAGGCGGATTGCTTGAGGTCAGGAGTTTGAAACTGGCCAACATGGCGAAACCCCTTCTCTACTAAAAATACAAAAATTATCTGGGCATAGTGGAGGGCACCTGTAATCCCAGCTACTTGGGAGGCTGAGGCAGGAGAATTGCTTGAACCCAGGAAATGGAAGTTTCAGTGAGCCAAGATCATGCCACTGCACTCCAGCCTGGGCCACAGAGCAAGACTCTATCTCAAAAAAAAACAAACGAAAAAAAAATCAAAGGGCCTTCTGGTCAACCCAGTAGGGTGGGGAGGAGACAGTGGACGGGAGAAGGTGGCAGGCGCCCAGGGGCCGAGGCTGGGCCCGTGTTTCCTCTTCATAGACTGAAAGAGTCAGCCCCGCTGTCACCCCCAGAGCCACCTCTAGACCAGGAGGCCCACGCGGAGCCACCCAGCCTTCCCACAAGGGCAGCAGAAGCCTGGCAGGGCGGGTGGAGGCTGACGGTCCTCACTCTGGCCGCCCCCACAGGGAGAAGCACCGGGAGCTGAGCGGGGGTGCAGAGGCCAGCACTGTGCCTGCAAGCCCTGGCGAAGGTGGGTCCTGCGCACCTGGAACTGGCTCCCTGGTCCCAGCCCCTCCAGGGATGTATGGGTGGGGTCTCTGGACCCACTCCCAGGGCCCTCACGGCCACCTTTGTCCGCAGCCCCGGAGGACTCACTGGCCCGGCTGCTCCGGGTGCTTCGGGACCTCCGGGAGGCCCACAGCTCCAGCCCGGCCAGCTCCCCGACCTTGGAGCCCAACTGCCTCCTGGAGCTGCAGACGTGAGGCCCACCCTGCGCTCCCCTTGCTGAGTCCCTGGCCAAGCGCTCAAAGCCCCCCCAGGATGCTCTGCACCCCTCACCCTGGTCCTCCTCATTAGGGTGCAGGGCCCAGGTCTCTTCCAGGTGGGGGAGGGGGAAGAGTCAGGGATAAGGGGATCCCCAGAAGTGCAAAGCTGAGCAGGCCTGGCCTGAAGTGTCCCGGCTCCCTACAGCCTCTGCAGCCATCACTGCCTCTCCAAGGACCCTCCTCTCCTGCCTAGGGCAGACCCAGCCAGAACCACCACTAGGACAGGCCACAGCCAGGGGTCTGGGCTCCAGGGACCTAGAGAATGGGAGGGAATAGGAGGCCCAGGACACCCGGCTGCCGCCCCACCAGCTCCCCGTGGGTGGCACAGAGCTGTGCTATTGCCAACAGTAAACCTGCTGTTCCTGCCCAGGCTCTGTGCTCTTCTTTGGGGATCTCGGGAGAAAGTGGGCCCGGCGGGGGACCCCAGAGGCTGCTGGTGGGTGTGCCGAGGATGGGGCTGACAGCATGGGTTCTGGGCATCCCTGTTCTCCCCTCTTCCTTCTCCCCACTCATCTGGGGTCGGGGACTCCTTTCCCTTCCCAGTCGCTGTTCCCACCATGCCCCTGGGTCCCCTCTTCCATGCCCCACAGACCGCAGAGCCCAGTGTGTCCATCCAGCTGTTCTCTCCTCAAAGCAGTCCCCAAAAGTCCCTCCTCTAGGATGTCCCTGAGGACAGCACAGAGTAGGGCTCAGAGACCCCTTTTCTCTTCACACAGCACTTACCCTCTAGGGTGTGGCTGGCAGTGTTGGCCATGTGGGGGCTCCCATCCCCCCACCATTGTGTCACACGGGCTGCCAGGTTCAGCTCCCAGCTGCATCCACAGTGACCTGGATCAAGGTGGGGGGAAGGCCTTGACCCCCTTTCCCCAAAAGGCCTTCAGCCCCTGCCTTGCCACGAGGTCACCTCCTTCCCCCTTTGACTCCAGATCCCAAAGGTCCACCCTGGCCCCAGCCCCTTTCTGGCCACTGGGCTTCTCCGATGCCTTAAGCATAGAGGCCCCGGGCTAGTCCGACGGTCAGCAAAGCTTGACTCTTGGAAGCTTAGATCCCCTGGTGTCCTGGGATCTGGCCTGCCTTTGGTCAGTCCCTGTGGTCCCCCACCAACTCCCCCTCCCATAGGGCCGCCCACCAAGCCCTGCACCCAGCCCAAGAGGAGCCCCCCACTGCCTGCGGGGCAGTGATGCCTGGCCACTGGCTCACACCACTGACTTGGTCCTGGCGTGGCGGAAGCAGCAGGTGACAGGAGCAGGGCCCTGTCCCTCTTTTCCCTGCCCTGTGGTCCCAAAGCCACGCGTGTGCCCGCTCTTGGGGCTGACCTACTGCAGGCCACGCCAGGGCAGGGTGGGCAGGGCCTTTGTGCCTCATGAGGACACAGAAGTCCCTGAGGCCCCAGACCTGGCTCAGCCAACCTCCTTCCTCCCCCTGCTGTCCGCCACTCTAAAGGCTCCTTCCTCCCTGTGCCCACCGGCTCCAGGCTCCTCGCAACAGTAGCTCATGGACACAGGGCGCCCCCAAGTGGTTCCTGCCCTCCAGGTGGGCGCTGTTCTCACATCCGCCTGCATCCATCCACTCATTCCTCACCTTTATGCTGCTGTCTTGATTTTTTTAAGCTACCAGGAAGGAAAGGGAAGACCAGATCACAAAACTGGGACCCCCAGAGGGAGAAGTGGGCTTGGAATAGGCATCCACCTCAGGGCTCAAATGGGTTTGTTCAAATCACATTCAATTTTCAGAGGAAAGGGAACTTTATCAATTTTGTTGTTGTTGAGACAAAGTCTCGCTCTGTTGCCCAGGCTGGAGTGCAGTAGTGCAATCTCGGCTCACCGCAACCTCCGCCTCCCAGGTTCAAGCGATTCTCCTGCCTCAGCCTCCGGAGTAGCTGGGACTACAGACACCCACCACCACACCCAGTTAATTCTTGTATTTTTAGTAGAGACAGAGTTTCTCCACGTTGGCCAGGCTGGTTTCCAACTCCTGACCTCTGGTGATCCGCCAGCCTCGGCCTCCCAAAGTGCTGGGATTATAGGCATGAACCACCGAACCTAGCCAGAACTTTATAGATTAAAAGAGATTTGAAGCTGGGTGTGACAGTGTACACCTGTAGTCCCAGCTACTCCGGAGGCCTAAGGCAGAAGGATCACCTTAAGCCCAGGAGTTTAAGGCCAGCCTGGGCAACATAGCAAAACCTAGTCCCTAAAATTAAAAAAAAAAAAAAAAAAAAAAAAAGGGGGGGGAAATAAAGGAGATTTGAGATTTTTGAACTAAATAGAGGTGATGATCACACATTGTGAACGTAATTAACACCACTGAGTTAAAACACTTAAAAATTGTTAAAATGGGCCGGGCGCGGTGGCTCACGCCTGTAATCCTAGTACTTTGGGAGGCCGAGGCGGGTGGATCACGAGGTCAAGAGATCGAGACCATCCTGGTCAACATGGTGAAACCCCGTCTCTACTAAAAATACAAAAAATCA